AGGTATATTGATCATAACTGGAATCGGTCACCGGATAAAACATCTTGCGGAAAAATTCAATAAAGAATTGCTGTATTTATCCTTTAATATTATTTTTTCTTTTTATCACATTAACCGAAAATTCATTATTGTATCTCCTAAAGTTTTGTACTCGTTTACTGGACGATCATTGCAAGTAAGCAACGCATGGCTCACTATTATTCCCTTTTTAACTATACATCATAACTATAATAATTCTCGTAAAAATAAGTCATCTATACGATCGTAACCAATGGAGAAATTGAAGATGTTCCATTCACATGTCCCGAAAATTATGATTATAAATCTCCCAATATTCGTAAAGCTTGTTTTGTTCGTTCCGCTAATTTGGTTTGTATGTGGTTGTTCGTGGGTTTTGCTACTCTTTGGGAAATTTCTGGCTGTTTTGGTATTGTTTCAAAAGTCGAAGATTTGGAATATACCTTCCTCGAACATGAGCCTGAAGAACGCGCTCCTCTTAATGTTTGAAATCTTATTTCTTTGTGTTTATTTCATATATTTTATGCATTATAGTCAGGAATAATAAAGAATCTTATTACAGTATTACGAAACGCAGTTACTGTATGTTATAATCTTTTAAAATTTTAAACTTTATACCTCCTGAATATTGTGATACAGTATAATTGTGATTATAAAAATTTGGCGCACGCCTGTTGCCTCCTTGTTATTATTATCGCTATTATTTCGGCTGATACATACGTACGTACGTACGTACGTACTTTACCAGTCGACTTAACTGTTATCATTAGCCCATATATCAGACTTCTGATTAGTGTTTGCTAAGTGAGCTAAAATATATCAATATGACGTGCATTAATACGTAGAAACGAACCAACCGTTTTTGACTTTGAATAAAACAACGAAAATACAGTATATAGATATAGAATGGTATTACGTCATTCAGAATTAATGTTCAGATTTCTGATATGTGTGCCAGGTTGATGGCGCATTACCCAGCCACAATGATCTCAGATACGTATACAGTGTATTCATACAGTAAAATTTCTTTTTCAACGAAAACTTCCACTGTATTTCATCAACCGTCCTGTACTTTGAAGCTTTCTATATTTCTTTTGTGAATTGAAGACATATAATTTTTAAAATTTTTAGTTCGTTCATTATAAAAAGGTACCATTATAAAGGGAGTTGACCGTACTTAATATGTAAGTAGAGTATGTTACAATAATTTCGGAAGCGTGTAAGGTTAACAAAACTTATAAATTAATTTTAAAAGTGAAACGTCTTTAACATTAAGGAACACTACTATTATTCTTTTTTAAGATACGATTCAGCGCAGATTATGAGAAAAGTTTTTTCTTTCATTTAAAGAATTTTTTTTTATAAATTATATAGTACGTGTTTATTTACGCTCTGATCTGTAAAAATTTTGAAAATTATAATTTATAAACATTATAAAAGAAAATAATACGAATTCAAAACAATAATATTAAAAGCAAAGATTATGAAAAAAATGAAGGGAAACGTGTTTTTATGAAAAAAATGACAAGAACATGATTCGAGAGAAATAATGTTAAAAAATTGTTTTATTATTGTTATTAGAATTTTTTAATTGGCGCAAATTATTTGGACTGATTAATGCGCCACCAACCTGGCACACATTCAAGAAAGTCCTAATTTCTCACGCAATGCTA